TAAGCACCAACGATGCTGGACATTGATATGATAATATCAATACACGAATGTACCAAAGTTGATATGATAACATTGATACACGAATGTACCAAAGTTGATATGATAATATTAATACACGAATGTATCAAAACTGATAATAAATAAATACTCAACTATTGGCATGCCAAGTGTACCAACAGTTCTCACTATAACACACAATAGGCTCATGTATCATAATAAATCCATCATAAAAATATTATGATTGGGTAGTTCATACCCTTAATCATTCATAAAACTGATATAGAATATTATAAAAATATTCTTTATGAACTTATAAATCATATTGTAAATTGGAATGAGGTTGACTTATCGCAAGTCGTCCTCGATCAAAATAATTAAATAAATAACTGCATTCACCTTTGCCTCACTATAGATTTCTTTAAGCGATATTTCTAATCACATGCTTTTTCTTTTCCTTTTTAATCGTCCCGATGCTAGATTTGTCGTGGTCTGGCAATACCAAATAATAACACAAAGTGTTCGAATTACATATTAGTATCGTACTAATATAAGCTATAAGTTGTGAATTCATTTTAGAATTCACCTCAACCTTTCCATTTAATTCCTAATGGTCCTTCACCATTATAATCATTGTACATTAATTACTAAAATTAAAGTACTTGAATAAAATACCCAAATTAATTCTTCAATATTCAAAACATTATAAATTTCAACCCAAACTTTCCTAACTTTCGATTTTCAACCACCAAACTTAATAAATTTGTAATTCAACCTCAACTCAATATTTAATTCAAAATTCAGCATACTAATAAATTTTCCAGCATTCAGTAATTTACTCAAATAATACTTCTTCATTTAAGAACTTGCAAACAAGTCCCCAAAGTTTTGGAACATTTCGAATTCCACCATCTAACCATTAAAATGAACTCTTTTAGAATTCTTCTCAACATTTCCAATTTATTCAAAATGGTATCTTTCCATTTAAATTAAATTTCAAGCATCCAAAAATATACTCAAACATTTAAACATTACTCTTCAGCTTCAAATCAATTTCCATTTAAATTCTAAAATTTCCATATTCAGACAACTCACACTACCTTTAAAGAATCAGTATTTTGTATTGATATACACACTGGAATTTAATTCCGTTTATTTGGTTGAAAATAGACTCGAATACGAATCTATCCATATAAATAACTCATTCTAGTTCATTATGTACAATTTATGGTGAATTTTCAAATTTGACCGACATAATCTGTTTTGTGCAGAATCTGTTGCTCCGTTTTCTGACATTTCCTCGATTAAAAATTCATATCTTTTTATATATACCTTGAAATTGATCGCCGTTTGTTTAAACAAAACTAGATTGATATACAAACACATATATATAAAAATCACCTCCAAATAATTTTTATATAATTTCTGATGAATTTTCAAACTCACTGCCAGATTCAAAAATCTAAAATGTTTTCATTAATTTACATCCTTAGGTTCTTCATCAATTCTTACAACACTTCTAATATCAAGAATCAATCTTTAATCATAAAAATCACACTTACCCTTTATCAACATCTTACCAACTTGAGCATGAAACATGAAGATTTTTATACCAAATGAAAGAGAATTTCATGTAGGTTATTTTATCCTTAATAACCTAATTTAAAATTAAAGTAAAAATGGACCAAAAATTAAAAACAAAGCTTCTCACCTTATTAATGGAGTCTCACGACAGCAAGGAGGATGAAGAAACTGAAATTTTCTTCACTTTACTAAACGTTATCCCTTAATACAAATGTCATTATCTAATATAAATGAATTTTAAATTCATTTTAACTCACTTTACCATTTTGCCCTTAATAAAACTTAATAATTTCATCCACGCCACTCCATGACATCATCCCTTACATCATCAAATCTATAAAGAAAATATCTAAATTCTGATTTTATACTTCTATCCTTGAATTTTTTGAAAATTGCAATTTAGTCACAAAATTTCAAAATTTTGGCTTAATATGGAAAATAGACCTTAATTCCATTAATCCATATTAAATTTCACTTTTATAAAATATATAAATAATATTTTCAACCATTTTATAACATCCTTCAAATTTTCGTAAAATTTCAATTCGATCCGGATATTTGATTTCAACACCAAACTTTATTGATTTATAGCTTTTAATACAATTCCCGTACCAAAAATCTGATTCCTACTAAAATATTTGTTTTAATCCAAACTGTTCATTTATAAGCTAAAATATACAACTTTTAAAAGCTACAATTTTGGTCCCTACACTTTTCAAAGTTTATATTTTAGCCACAAAACTTTCAAAACTTACATTTTAGTCACTAGTCAAAATTTGGGGTATTACAATTCAAAAGTAAAAATTGAAAATTTTGAAAAAGAATGCTTTAATTTAAAAATTAAGCTTGAATGCTTAACAAAAGAAAAGGAAATCATTTTAAATAATTCATCTAATTTCATAATGAAAAAGATACTCACATTGTCATTATCATGGTCACATGGAACATACTTGTACTTTAAAGAAAGGAAAACGTTTTAAAATTTGACAAGTATGGGTTCCTAAGGGAACAAGGGGCATTGAAACTAACGTTCAAAGATCCAAAGCAATTTGGATATCAATATCACATAAATGTCTCTTGTAGGCGTGTGGGAGCAATGATGATGAAAGTGAAGATACTCAAATGCTCTAGCTACACTTGATATGGAATAGATAACCTCTAAGTTTAGTTTGATTATTTTGCATAATTGGTTGCTCATTTAGTTTAAGCATGCATGAGTCTGGATTTTAAACAACTTTATGTTTTTCTATCTCATGTATGTTAGAAAGCGTTGTGATGAACATTTTCTAAATTTTTAATGATTTCTCATAAATGCTTGTTCATCACAATGAATTTTGGTTAAATTTGATTTTAATGCTTTGTTTTTATAAATTTTAATTTGTTGACCTTAATTTAAATATTTATGCATGTGATTTGTTGCAAATGATATCTCTTTAACAATTGATATCAATTTTTCAAATGAATAACTTTTTGGATAGCTTTATGCACATGCACTTTACTACAACAATTAGTATTGCATAAAGTATATTAGACTTGGATATATTGAATTTCACGTGCTACTAACATGTTTGTTCATCTTTGTTGAAATTCAATATCTTTTAAGTGTCAGATTTTGCAATCAAATTTTTATTTGAAATGCATTTGTTGAGAGGGAGCTTTTGTTTTTTCAAATGATTTTAATGTTTAAATCTCTACCTACTCTCCATTGTTATTTTGTGCCTTAAAGTTTGAATTATTTTTGATATAACAAAAAGGGAGAGAAATATGTGTTTGAAAAAAATTCAATTTCAAGAATGAAAAGGGGAAGCTTTAATATTTTCCAAATATTGCTCTTTTTCATTAAATGTTTGATTAAGGGGAGCTTTTGTAAAAAAAACTATTTTTCAAATGTTTTGTTATATCAAAAAGGGAGAGATTGTAGAATTAATATTTTGATATAACAAATAAGGACAAAAATGTTTCTGGACCAAATTGAATTTGTTAAAACATTGCAAAAAAATTTTAAGTTTTTAAAAGGTGAAACAATCAATTTTGGGCCTGGTTTATAAACCCCTAAGGCATAATGTAAATATGGCCTACAGGTTTGGAAACCCCCCTCAAAAGTTTCAAAACCCCTTGCTCAAACAGTCAAAATTTTAAATGAAGGTTTCAAAACCCCCTTTAAAGGTTTCGAAAACCTTACGAAAAATTGCATATTTTTTAGCTCCCAACCTTCCCAAACGGCTAGAAACGGCTAGTAACTTATTCCAACATATAAAAACAAGTTGAGGACACTTTAAGAAGTAGATTAACACATATCCAAACAATCAAATACAAGAGAAACATTCTTCAATCTTATTTTTCTTTCTCTTGTAAATAGTTGTGTTTTTGTGAGCTTTAATTTGTAAACACATTCATTTGTAGATGTTTTCTAATTTACAATTCTTTTCAATTCTTTTCCTTTGTAAAGAGGTTTTGGTTATAACTAAACCTTTGAAAAGCTAAGGAGTTTGTAAAAGTTATCTCTTTGTCCTTGAAAAAGAAAGAATAAATTAGTGGATTTGTTGGAAAATCCTAAGTGAGAAGCTTAGGTAGTGGATGTAGACTTGGTTGATAAGTCGAACCACTATAAATCATTGTGTAAATTTTCATATTCTTATACTCCTTACTCCCTAAATTTCAAAAAGTAAATTCACCCCCTCTTAGCTCATTTTCGGTTGATTGAACGAGCTTCATCGAGCCCAACAAGTTTTCATTTCATTTTAGTACCCACCATTAAAAAATTAATACATTTAGTACCTAAACAATCAATTTTTATCCCTTTTAGTTCCTAAACTTTCAATTTTTTTCAAAACTTAACGTTAAAATTTGAAGGGAGTATTAAAATGAAACAAAAACTAAAGTTTTTAACTGTGGGTACTAAAATGAAACAAAAATTAAACTTTAGGTATGCTTTTGAAAAAAATTAAAAGTTTAAATATTAAAATGAATCAAAAATGATAGTTTGGGTGCTAAACACGTAATTAATCCAAAATATATATGTAAAGGAATAAGGTTATTTTGCCTAAATTTGATCAGAATTTAGACTTATATAGTCTCCACTAATATCGCTCAAGTCGATTTGCGGAGGAAAAACGAAAACATCTTCAGGTGCTTTATTCGTTCCGTTGACACCATTACTCACTGCATCTGATTTCAAGGGGACACTCCTCCACCGGGCTTCCACCCCATTCAACCTAGGAAATATCCAAAGTGTTTAGGTGTTCCGGTTCATCGTAATTTGTAGACTAACTGTTTGATAAATTGTCCCAAAGAAAATTTATACCAGTTTCATCCATCTTTTACGGAATACAGTTTTCCTTCTTTATTTTTAATGATCTGATACTTGGGGGGGAAAAGAAATGTTGGAATGAAGTTGAAGTATTTTCCCTGATGCTATCGTTTTCGCTTGAACAGAGACTCTAGGCTGCTCTGCTCCTGCCAAAATGATAAATACATTGGTTTTGCCTAGGCCTATTGAAGTATGCATAAAACTTCATTTTTTTTATATTAACTCCCATCTTTCTGCTTTCCACTTTCATAACAGCCGATGCTTTTGCAGTTTTTTAATTAGTTTTCAGAGGAATAAAGCTAAGTTTGTCCGAATCGGATTCTATTCTAACTTTCATACTTCTTCCCATCAGTGTTCTTCGATGTTTGCCCATTGATTGTTTCCATGGTTTTTGCCTTGCCTTTGTAGTTTGTACTTTGTTTAACTGTTTGTTTTGGTATAGGCATTGAAGTTGTCCTCTACAAAATTTGACTTGTCAAGAAAATCAAAGTACAGCACACCGAGGATGGAACTAACCCTGACTCAACCTGATGATTGGCATCTTCATCTCCGTGATGGTGACCTTCTTCAAGCTGTCGCCCCTCACAGGTTGTTTTACTTTTTCTAATAGTAGACTTTCGGGGTATTCGATTTTTGGTAACTAGGCTGGTGGCCTAAATCACTTTTGCCATTCAGTTAAACTGGTATTTTGGTTAATGTCTTAAATTCAGTTTGTTATTGTTTCCACATTATCTATTAAGACCTGTGCCAGTTTGTATTCAATCCAATGTTATTTGAAATATTCTGCGTGTTGGATACTGCTCAAAACTATCCTTAGATTGCATTTTCACATCTTTATATATCTCTATATACCTGGTTTTATGCTGAATAATCTACTTATTAATATTTGGGGTTTTGAACTTACTGACTTAATTGATAGACACATTTGATTTTATCGATTAAGTAGTTATCAATTATCATACTTTACCAGTTATGCTATTTCTGTTCCAAAACTTAATTGTTTGGTTAATTCTGTTTTAACAAGCTTTGAACAAAGTAACCAAAACAATCATTTGCTCACCCCTTGTTCACTTGAATTACTTCTTCAATTTATGGGGAAATTATCTGTTGATTACATTCTGAATGATTGTGATTTTTTTACCCATCTTATTAGTATTCTTATTGCAGTGCAAAGCACTTTGGAAGGGCAATAGTAATGCCAAATTTGAAGCCTCCTATTACCACCACCACTGCTGCTATTGCTTATCGAGAATCAATCTTGAAAGCATTGCCTACTGATGGCAATTTCACTCCACTAATGACACTATATTTAACAGATAAAACCAGTCCCAATGAGATCAAGCTTGCTAGTAAGTCAATCTCATATTTAATATGGTTTAAGGATTCTTCTTATTTGTTTAACATGTGGAAAACCTCTACCAAATTCCAATGTCTCTTTCTTTACCGTGCCAGGCTTCTGCACTTACAGTCGTTTTTAATTTAGTCCATTCATTTAGAATTGTAGAGAAACTACAATTAAACAAGTGACTCCCATTTGTTATTTGGTCTCATTTGTTCTGGCTTGAGTCTTGCGGTTTTGTTGATGATTGAGCCTAATGTGTTGACAGGAAAGAGCGGAGTTATCTTTGCTGTTAAGCTGTACCCTGCTGGCGCTACCACAAACTCTCAAGATGGTGTTACAGATCTGTTTGGGAAATGTCTACATGTTCTAGAAGAGATGGTTGAGGAAAACATGCCGTTACTGGTAATTTAAACTATACTAAGTTCACTATTATATGTTGGTCAACTACAATGCTCTTGTACATTGGCAATGTGATTTCTTAGATAGCATAAGAAATTCAAATGCAGCCTGTATAATTTGAAGACACTGCTTTTTCTTTTTTACTTTTTTCGCTTACGACTTGTATAATTATTAATCTGATCAATTTATATAGGTTCATGGAGAGGTCACAGATCCTAATGTTGATGTTTTTGATCGGGAGAAAGTGTTCATTGACACTGTTTTGCAACCTTTAATTCAAAGGCTTCCAAAATTAAAGATTGTGATGGAGCATATCACCACTATGGATGCTGTTAGGTTTGTAGAGTCTGGTAAAGAAGGTAAACTTGCTTTTAGGGAAAAAATTTGCCAATTACTTTTCGTTTCTTGTTTTACTGGTAGTACATGTCCTTTTAGTTTTAGATTTCTTCCTTGTTTCTCATTTAGCTCACGAGTTTTTGTTTTCTGCTTTAGGATTTTTGGCTGCAACAGTTACACCGCAACATCTTATTCTCAATAGAAATGCCCTCTTCCAAGGAGGATTGCAGCCTCATAATTACTGCCTTCCTGTACTTAAAAGAGAAACCCACAGTATGTTCCACTCAACATTTTCCTTGATGCTGGAAATAAGCATTGCTATCTATATGTAGATCGTTGGACTTCATTTATGAGTTGGAATTAGTATACGAATCATTGCTTTTGTTAAAAACATGGTGTAATTATGATAGACGAGTTTGCTTTTGTTTCTTATGGTTTTAAAAACTTATAGTCAGACGAGTTCAACAGCATTTCTTAAAATAATTGTCTCAACAGATTTTCGTGTGCTTGTCTTACCCCAGGACAGGCTATTGTTTCAGCTGTGACTAGTGGAAGCAAAAGATTTTTCCTGGGAACTGACAGTGCTCCCCATGAGAGAGAAAGAAAAGAATGTCCTTGTGGTTGTGCTGGCATTTACAATGCCCCTGTTGCGTTATCGCTGTATGCTAAGGTCTTTGAAGAGGTAATTTTCTTCCTTGTTAATTGTAAGATTCTTACTTTTTCTCATGAATGCTTTAACGGAACTTGAATCAGAGATAGGCCATATTAATGAGGTTAAGGATAGGTTAGTTAGGGATTCCGAATTTTTATATTTACTGCTCTGAATAGGAACATGTACATCTATAGCTAGTTCATAAACCTGTGAAAGATACCGTCTCTCTTTTATTAGATTATGAAAATAGTATGGTACTATATTGCTCCGGTTTTTTTATTTTACATTAAATATCCATGTCTGACACCATGCCTGATTCATATTTGGGCATTAGTAGAGAGATATGACCATTCAAGGACTATCCTAATATATGGAAAACTGAACCCACTGAGTGGCCTCATTGCCATAGGTAAAAGGAAGTGTTGTTTTCCCTTAAGGACCCGGGTTTGAGCAACTGCATCTGTAGGGTGCGTATGCATCGTCAATAGGCTAAGAAAACTCTGAACAATACTACCTTGTAATCATTCCAAACTATTAAAAAATAATATATGGAGAAGTTTTAAGAAATTGAATGAGATTATGTCACCCATATATCCGAATCTCACACCTAAGTTCGAGTAATACAGGTTCCATTTTTTACTTGTCTATGTTGATCAAATACTGCATTTCTTGTTGATTGATACTCAGATCTCATATATCTGACGTTTTGATTTCACTTTCCTACCTTAAAGTCTGGTTTTTGTTGTTTATTATAGGCAGGTGCACTTGATAAACTAGAAGCATTTACAAGCTTCAACGGACCGGACTTCTATGGTCTCCCGAGAAACACCTCGAAAATCAAATTGACAAGGAATCCATGGAAGGTTCCGGAGTCTTTCTCGTTTCCTTTGGGCGACATCATTCCTATGTTTGCAGGTGAAACACTTGAGTGGCAACCATGCTTCCCTTGATTCTATCTTCTTCATTTTCAGAGCTACATTGTGTAATTGAATTTATGTAGCTGAAAGACTATTGTTGAATAAGGTTCAAAGAGTAAAGAGCTAATAAGACTGAGAACGATAAGCCCGAGCATGAACTTCGATTCACTCGGTTGCATGCTGTTACAACATCGAAAAGGATGTTAGTTTCAATACGTCTAAGTTTACATTATCATCCGATCAACTGCAGTATGTGTAAGCAGATGGACCCTTATTCGTTTTCGATGAAATAGATGAATCATAAAATAAAGATACCCGACAGAAAGACAGTAGAAAAACTGTCTGAAATTGATTAAAAGCAAGTGTATATAAAATACTATTAAGCTTCCTACATAGAAGCTATTCTTCATATGAGTCACCTAAACCCCAATAAACTCATCTGTTTCACAAAGGGACATTCTTTTCGTGTCCACCTTACACACACTCTTAATTGTTGCCCACTCTCTTCAGCTCACTCTATTATTTAATCCCACTTCTCTTTTCTGTGCCATTCCCTTCCAAACCAGCTTTATTTATACTAAAGGTAAATCCCTTTATTTTTCCCATTCATGCCTTCCATCACTTCTTGATTACTCAATTTGAATATGTATTTGATTTATTTGCTTTTCGTCTCGTATAAATTTGGTTCAGGATGCAAAGGAACACCACTAGCAATGGCATGTCCGCAGCCGCGACACGGGTGCACCCCGTGTGCGCCGCAAGCAAGCACCAACGGAAGAAATGTGACGAGGTTTGCATCCTGGCTCCGTATTTCCCGGCCAACAAGTGCCGGGAGTTCCAAGCCATGCATAAGGTCTTTGGCGTCAGCAACATGACGAAGATCGTCCGGAATGCAGGTACCGACGAGGACCCGAAGAAAGTGGCGGATTCGTTGATATGGGAGGCGTTCTGTTGGCAGAAGGATCCACTTTTGGGACCCTACGGAGATTATAGGAAGGTTTATGAAGAGCTGAGCTTGTATAAGAAGCATAGCCAGATGATGATCCTACAAGACCACGATCATCATCAGCCCGGTCACCAGGTGTTCAAAATGGGCGCCGCTCACGCGGTCGCACCGACGAAAAGAGGCAACACAACGTTACGATGCTACAGTCCCGACGTCGACGCTAATTCTCTCTTCAGATTCAGCGGATACCCGTATCCACAATCGGACAAGGCGGTGCAAGAAAAAGGCATGCATAATACGACTACTATCGTTCCACTCCAATACTACGTTTCAGCAGGCAACGTCTTATAAGTCACTTATAGCACATGAAAAACATCAAAAGGTACATTAAAAATAAAAATTTTATTCAGATGTAGGGTTTATGAGTACAAGATGGGACAACATCCTATAGATTATCTTTTATTCGGACAGTGCCAATGTTGTGTTGGAAACTTGTTCAACTTGTTTTTCTTCCCTACAGCATTTCGATGTTTTATATTCTTTTACGGTCCATGTTCACATTACAAATAATATTTGATTGTTTATAAAATGACTTTAATAATTAGTATTTACTATTTTTCTTTTAATTCGGTGGACCCAAAATTTAATATGCACTCAATCTAATATATATAAGTTTATTTAAAAGAATTTAATAAAAAAATATTAAAATGTATACAATAATTATATTATTTCCCCCTGAATAAAACTAAGAACAAACACACTGAAATATATAAGAAGAAAAACATATTGAAATATGCATGAACAACGTACAGCAAAAACTTGTTACACAAGTTACAAACAAGGAATTCTAGATTCCTATTTATTCAACAAACCAGCAAACAAACACAAACTATGCCCCCAATCATGTATTATATTCGTTTCGATTCCCACGCCGGAATGTGGTGGCGTCTGCCCCGTGCTCGGTGCTTATCGTGCCGCCGCTCCCTCTTTGAGTTTTGGGTTGGTTGTCATCTTCGTCGAAGTCGACGTCGGGTCCAATATTAACAAGGTCGGTCGTATTCTGGGCGATCTCCACTATAGTTTCAGCTATGGCTCCCAAAACTCCCGATTCCGTTTCATCTCCTCTTCTTGCTGATCCCTCGAAGTTTCTCTCCGTCGCACTGTGCTTTGCTCTCTCTACGCCCTCCGTTTGCATCGGTCCTTTCTCTCTTTGATCATGGCGACGCCTCTCGGTTTCCTCAAATAGGACAAAATGATCAACGAATTTGTTATGTCAGTATGAAACTTTTTGAATGATAATAAAGAGGGTGGAGTTGTCGATGTTCAAACCTGGGTGAATCCACCGGATTTGTTAGTCTCCGACGATCCCTGAAAGGTTTGCTTCAAGGCATCTCCGATTGGCTTTGCAGTCTCCTCGATTTTCTCTTTGGTTTTTCTCGGAAAATCCTGGACTTGTCGTCTGATCTCACTCGGTCTTTCTCTGCTTTCTTCTTCTTCTTGGTAAGAAATGTATTCATCCTTCAAAACAATAAGAACTGATTACCAAAATATATTCAAATTAAACAGAATTATTAGAATTATTAAATTAATAAGGTGGAAAATTACCGTTGTTTCTTCAGTGGATCTCTTAGCTTCAAAATCTCTGGCCGCCTCCTCCTTTTTCCTGGCGGTATACTCTATAATAGTCTCACCAGCAGCTGAAGCAGCATCCTTGGCCGCCCTTAATGATGTGGCGGCAAGTTCCTTCGATTTTTGGCCGGCATACTCCGCCGCACCCTCCACCATCCTCGCCGCCACCTTTGTTCCTTCCACCGCTTTCTCGGTGGTATAATGTGCCGTAGTCCACCCGGCTACTACAGCTCTGTCCTTCACATCCACAGCCACTTTCCCCGCCAATCCAGCAGCCTCCTTGCTTTTCTCTACCGTAACATCTTTGGCATCAACCGCCTTTACTCCTGTATAACTGGCAACGGTTTTAGTAACATCAACTGCGGTATCTTTCGCTTTCACCGCCGTTTGCAATGCATAATCTTTGGCCTGTTCCATTTTCGGCACCGAATAATCCGCTGTAGTCCTGCCTGAACTCGATAGGGTTTCGGCCGCGGTGTCTTTGGTCTCGGTTCCTTTCTCCGCAATGTATTGTGAAGTCTTTTTTGCACCTTCGACGATCGTGTCCTTCGTTTGTCCACCCATCTCCGCCGCCTTCTGAGCAGCTCGACGAACAGTGTCCGTCGCTTGTCCACCCTTCTCCGCCGCATACTGAGCGCTTTGACGAGCGGTTTCCCTTGCTTGTTGACCCTTATCTTTGGTGTACACGGCTGCGGTGTTAAGCGCTTGGGCGGCCGATTCCTTGGCCTTGTTATACCGTTCTTCGGCAGCGCGTAAAGTCTCCATTGAATTCTGTTGAGCTGTTCCTCTTAGCTTAGATATCTCTTCTAGAGATAGCTGCTCTCGTTTCTCGCCACCCTCTTCTTTATCGATGTTCCTCAGTTCGCCGGCAGTTTCCATGCTATGCCTTGTCTCTTTATCGCTCTCGCGTTTGCCCATAGACTCCATTGAAGCACCTGCACTCTGCTCACGTTTGGCCTTAGACTCCATTGAAGCACCTCTCTCTTGTCTATTTCCACCGATCTTCTCGTGTTTGAAGCCCTGAGACTCCATTGAAGCACCTCTGATCTGTTTTCCAGGCCCACCGCTCACTTCGAATTTCCCTATGGCGTAATTAGGCTCTCTCGCCCTCTCTTCACCGTGTTTTCCTCTTCCGGTTCCGACGTCATCTCCTTCCGTTTCCGCCACTATCGTGGTGGAAACATTAATGTCACCGACTTTCCCTCCGAGTTCATGGCACTCCCTGTGAGGGACTTGCCTCGCAACGCCGGCATCCGACTGTTTCGATTTCTCCGCAAGGGACTCGAAGTGAGTTGCCATCTTAGGGACTTGGTTTTCCTCCAAGTGAACCTCTCTCTCGCTCGTGGTGTTCTCTCTACGACTTAGTTGATCGGACGCCATTATCTCACTGATCGGAAATCTTTTTGCTGATTTGATGTTGGATTTGTGTTGTGAGGCTGAAACGCCGATTGGGGCTTGAAATATAAGGAGAGAGAAGATGGAGATACGTGCATGGACGTTGACACGTGTGATGCTGAGTTGGACATTTGGGACACGTGTGGTGAATATAATAATGTGAGAGGTGAATCATCTTATCCGTTTGGACAAACAATTTGGGGTTTCATCTGCACACGTGTTTACGTTCTCTGGCTTCCACGATTAATCCAATCATAAACTGCACCGCATATAGAAAACCCTGCGAGTCGGGTATGAATTTATTTTCAATTATATTATTTTATAATATTAATAAAACAATAAAATATTTAATATATTGTTGATGCATATTAATAATCTTGAGAATCATATCTTATAAAAAATAATTGAGTGGATTTTATTAAATTATGTTAAAATATTTTTTTATTTAATTTTTAAAAATTATAAAATAATCATTAAAATTAAAAAATTTATTAACTCATGACAACGTATATACCTCTTACAAATATAGTTATTATTTTATATATTTAAGTCTCGTTGTTTTGTTTTATTTAATTAAACTATCTTTTATTTTCATATGAAAATAGTAGATGATTTTGTCTGATATTATTGTAACACGTTTGTTCCTTCTTGTAGTACATTTTTTTTTCTATTTTTAGGATTGTATTTGATGTCACCTCGTCAGTTGGTGTTTGTTTAGTTATCTTGATGACATATTTTATTTGAATTTTGGATTGATTCTCTTCATTCTATTAGATTATGATTAAGTTGTGATAAAATCGGATGTCAATATATCATTATTGTTAAACATATTTTTATATTAATGTTAATAACATTTATTGTTCATCATTGTAGACACATAATTTCGTCTTCACACTTTTATAGTACTTACATATATATATTAGTATTACTCCACACTTTTATAATATTTACATATATATATTAGTATTAATTTTATTTATTTCTTGCATATTACAAGACCAAAATTAGGTTACAAGACCAATCTGCTGGCCCAACAGTGGACCAAGTCCAGCACACGTGACCCACTGGAGTTAGGGTTCCCAGAACCCTAGCAGTTTCCCCATCCAGCGCCGCATCACCAAGATTCCAGGGCTATCACGTCGCTCCAAGACCCCCATCACCGCACGTCTCGCCTCCAAACGGCCGGAACTCTCGGCCACGCAAAGAAACAAGCAACAACAACCAACATCAGTGTTTTACTCTAATTTAAACTCTAAAAATAGCCATTTTTGGGCTATAAATATTATGTAAAGCACACAAGTTTAGGATTACGAAAAATACACAAAAAAAAGATACTAGGCACGAGCACACAAAGAGAGATCGTGAGAGTCACAAAACTCAGAAGGTTGTAAAAGCATTCGAAGCATTTTTCTTGAAAAGAAATAAAGGGTATTTTTCTTGGTCTTTTACCTTTGTTTTTGATTCGGTTCCCTTGCACTGCTTGCATGTTGTTGTTGTTGAGTCTCCTTTGAACCATCAAGAAAAACCATTTGGCCGATGAACTCTTAGGGGAAGGATCGAGACTTTGATCTCAGTTCTACCCTCCCCCGAGGCCTATTTCGAAAAACCAGTTTAAGATTTGGGTTGAAGGCAAGAAGAGCTTTCGAAAAAAGCTTACCTTTTCGTGTTTGGCCGCCGATGAACGACGGCCGCCGCGGATCAGCGGCGGTGGCAAGGCAGCTTGAGGCGGCGCAGGGCCGTTTTCTGGAAATGAACGGTGGTGTGTTCATCAGTTGGATGAACAAAAGAGAGAGTCTGAGTGAGGGAGGGGAGCCTTCGACGAGAGAAGAAGAGAGAAATGAAATTTCAAAAAAATATTTGAGTCATATAGTTAGCCCAGCGGACCAAACTGGCCCGACCCGTGCTTATATCAGATCCGCGTGTTTTGCTAAAAGGGGTAAACTTCATTTTGGCTCCCTCTGTTTTGAAAAACATTCAATTTGGTCCCCAAATCGGTTGGGTAAACTTCATTTTGGCTCCCTCTGTTTTAAAAAACATTTAATTTGGTCCCCAAATCGGTTTAATTCCCTTGGTTATATTCTAATTCTGCCATCTAACTTTATTTTGTTTCATTTTACCCCTTTATACTTATATATATTTTATTATATCTCGTATTTACTCTTTTATACATAGATATTTGGATTTGTATTTATTTACACTATATTATATTATATTCCTATTAGTTTATATATATACATTACTTATTTTTCTTTTATTACATGCTATTTATTATATATATATTACTCATATTTGCTTTTCTTTGTTTTTATATTTTTTATTCATGTATATTTTTATATTTTTTTTTCTTTATTTGAATTTTCGTATTTTTCCTTGTAAATTTTATTCATATTTCATTCCTAATTCTTGTGTACATTATACTTTCTTTATTTCGTTTGTTCGCCTTATTTTTATATTCTAATTTTATTATTTTTATTATCTAACCATTTTCTCAGTGTTTTAAGGATGTTTTCAAAACAATCAGAAGTAAGTAATTCAGGATCAAATTTTACCTTTTTAATTTAAAATTGCAATTTTATTAAATCATGACAACTGGAAATTACATAGTACCGAAAGGGCGGTTCAAGGGTGCTAATCCTTCCTTGACCGTAACCGACTCCCGAACTCGACACATTTCTGAAAAAACGCAGATCAGGTAAGATGGTGTCCGACCCACCTAAATTCGTTTTAAAATGGTCGGTGGCGACTCCAACCCAATTATTTCAAGTCGAAACCCAATTCCGGGCCCAACCGAAAGACGGTTCCGACAGCTTGGCGACTCCGCTGGGGATCCACAGGTAAGCGAGTCAGGCTAAGGTAATTTCCAGTTGTCTTTTTAACGAAAATGGTAAGTTTAAATGTTAAGGTAATATTTCGATCCTTTTTACTTACTTTTGATTATGTTTTCGAGTAAATAGTTGGACTAATCGTTTTCTCATGATTTCAGACTTCAAAGTTTTTTTCATCTAAGGCTCTATACCCGAGCTCCAATTCCTATTTTAAGTGGGGGTGAAAGCGACGCCTTCGTGTGAATTTATTCACCGTGCGGGCCTAGCAAGTAGCCTTCGGGATTCATATACCTTATGTCTTCGTGTGAATTTATTCACCGTGCGGGCATAAGGGAATGTGTCCCCTCGAGTTTAACTTAGTCCATACAAGCCTGTGATGGGTTTAGGACTAAGGGTCTGGCAAGCCCAAGGGGGCACTGACAAGGAGAACTCGGGTACCATTTTTTTAAAACCTAAACCGGGAGACCATGAAGAATTAGAGCCTACCCCAAAACCACGTTCCAAAACTTAGGATATTTTTACCCTAACCATGTCTTTTTGCGCTTTTTCCTTCCGTCATTTTTTTATTTGTATTTTTATTTTACTAACGTTTTTGCCTTTGTGTTTGTTTTCTAGCATTTGCATCATTACAAGAGGCTATTGATCCCTAAAAAGCATTTGTTATACACAAAGTAATTCAAATTAATGGATAAAGGTGTTGTAATACAAGAGATTGAAAACGCTGAGGCACGACTATGGTCCGAGAAGGCTCAGAAAGAGAAGGGAGACAGTCTTCAGGGAAACTATGTGTCAGAACTGGTTAGTTATGCCGCTGTCAGCCTGAAACAGAATAATGTCCAGGAGCTGCGAAACATTTGGGATAGTTGGAAGAATGACAGAAAGCAGAAGTTCAGCCAACGATATGGTGATATCGCCCTCTTGCTCCATGTCAAGACTGATGAGCCCTTACTCCGAGCATTAATTCAATTCTGGAACCCGGGATATAGTTGTTTCACCTTTAACCAGGAAGACATGGTGCCTACTATCGAAGAGTATACTACTCTATTGCACTGCGAAAGCATCAAACTAGAGAGGGCATATATTAAACATATCAAGAGTCAGCCATTCAAGAACGGACTGGCCAAGATTGCAGGGGTTGATGAAAAGTGGGTGACTGATCGACTCCGGCACAAAGGTAGCGGGGAAGGAATCGAGTGGATCCATATAAAGCAACTAATGAAAAACCACCCTGATGGGTGGAAGACTATAGACCTTTTTGCACTGGGTCTGTACGGTTTAATCATATTTCCGAAGGCTTTGGGGTGCATTGACGCTGCCGTGGTGGAATTATTTGAGCAACTTTCTAAACGAGTTAACCCAGCACCAGCCATCTTGGCCGAGACCTTTCGATCGCTCAACCATTGCCGAAGAACTGGCGGAGGAAGATTCACCGGGTGCATTCAGCTCCTTCAGGTCTGGATTCACAGCCACTTCTGGAAGACTGACTGGGTTGCCTACCGCCGTTTCAGCACCACCTATTCACCTCTAGGTGAATTTATTACCTTAAAATGGCATGAAGGCGCTTCGAAAGAAAAATGGATGAAGGTCTTCACGCATCTTCAAGACCGAGATATTGTCTGGAGAGCCCCTTGGTTATTCCTCAGTGATGTTCTTTTTCGATGTGGTGACTCTGACACTGTGACCTTACTTGGACTTTGGGGAGCAGTCGGGTATGCTCCGCTATTAGCACTTAGACAATATGGAGCACGTCAGTTTGTCCCAACAACGTGCGGGTTGGCTAGGTCAGAGTTTGAGTATCACGGTGACAGCTATAAAAAGATGATCAAAGAAGCGGCCGATTCATGGAGGAAAGTATTCCGGATGGATAATGTAGCTGCCAGAAGCATGCTCACTCCGGATTATGTGGAGTGGCGAAGATTAAGAAAGAATGACAACATCCCTGTGCCAGACTGTGATGACACCCGGACCATGGAAGAACATCTCAGGCATGTCCCTTCTGAACTCGAGATAGCCAAGACCGAGTTTGAAGCAGTGAATAATGAGCTGAAGCAAAGGATAAAGGAACTTGAAGCTGAACGTTATCAGTGGAAGCTTGATGCTGACTCTCAGAAAGATCGGGCAGAAAAATTGGAAAAAGAACAAAAAAGAGTCCGTTTTGAGCTCGAAGACTT